GCGGTGCTAGAGTCAAATCTAAATTCAGAACAATTTCCCTTGGACCGCTGACCAATCCTAAATTTATCTTCTTAGAACTATTGAATAATGCTTTATCTACCAGCTTGAATCCTCTTTTCTTTTTAGTCTTGTAAGGCGTTGGGACCCCCAAATTTCCATTAGGTGAAGGCACCCTGGTTGCTCTGTCCACCTCTATCCGGTATTGTAATCCTGCTTCATCTCCCTCCTTGTAGAGGGTCACTACATCACCAACTTTCAAGTGGTTCTGGCGAACAAAGGGAATCCAACCATTAGAGAGAACAGGTTTTTTGTACCCCTGTTTCCTAGTGCTGCATACCATCGGCCAAGCCCTTCCCTCGTACAAAACTTTCAATCTTACAGCATGGCCTCCGTTCAAATGTGGAAGGGATTCGAGACTCTTTGTCCGGATAGCTAGTCTCTTGGTGATATCAGTAGGCTTCAAAGGTTTCTTAAAGAGCATGATTGGGTGAGGCATGGTGGTAAGATTGTGGGAATTTTCAATATCAGGAGAAGAAAAAGTAGAGTAAGGAAGATTGAAGATGGTTTGGTGAATGAAGCAGCTGGTGTTAGCGTAACATCCATTTATATTGTTCAATTGGATTATGTTTTACCATGATAATGTGAAAGATGATGATAATTAATTCATCTATGTATAAGGGGCCCCATTTTTCCATAAGGAATCTATCATCCCATTTGTTCTTTCGGAAGAAAAACTTTGCAGACCCATTTTTCTTGCTAGTGCTTGTGTAACCCATGACGTCAGCAATTCCTTAAATTGCATTCGAGAGCAAACTTTGTCCATTCCGGCGTTACCAACCCAAAATCGGACGAGCTTGAGATTGAATTCCTGAAATAAATATACTATGTTAATATAAATATGAAAAGTATTTTGAAATTTTTGAAAATTTAAGAGAAAAAATATCTTAAAGTTACATTATTTTAAAAAATTATTAAAAAATAAAATAATTTAATTTTAAAAGTAGGCAACCAATCTGTTTTAGTTTTTCTTGTATTATTTTATTGAAACAATTCTTAGAGTGCCTTTCTTCATAATTTTTTGAAATATTTAGGTGATAAATACCAACCTTATATAAAATATAAAGAGATTAGAGAGAGAAAGAAAAGTGTGTTTTTTTTTTTATCAACAAAGAAAAGTGTTTGTTAATCAGACTCTAAAAAAAAGGAAGAAGAAAAATACTTAAAATTATGTCATTTAAAGAAATTTTCATTAAAAAAATAAAATAATCTATTTTTAAACCATAAATGAGTTTTAATGATCTAAGTAATTTAATGATCATATTCTTTTATTAAAAGTAAAAAATTCTGACTTTGAATTACATAATATACAAGTGAGTTGAAATAAGAGATGAAATATAGTTATCTTACATTATGCAATTAAAATAAAAAAAAATCATAAATGAGTTTATTTTAATTGTTTATGGTACTTTAATAAAATAAAATAATTTTAAATCTTTTTCATCCTAATTTTTTTAAAGTTCAATTAATCTAAATATCAAGTTTCTGAAGCCACATATAGAACCGTGAGAGTATAGATCAAAAGTTATATAATTTTAATTGGAATATCTAATCCAAGGAGAATATAAATAGTGATAACTTCTTTAGAGGTTATCATATGATATTTTCATTACCTTTCTTTGAGTGATGAAATGTTAAAAATTGATCTACTCTTTATTTATTTTTTATCTGCGTTGTGCTTTATGCAATGGTAGTTTTTATGGTTCTAAGTCCTTGATCCATGGGACCAGGTGTTTTTTTTTTTAATGTAAATAAAGTTTTATTCAGTTAAAAGGATAATGACATAACTTACCTTACCCTAGTAACTATTACATTATTAGTATTACTAGATCAGTCTGGATTTTCTATTGACCCAACTTTTCAGTCACTGACTTTTTCGGCTGTGATTACATGTGAAAGGATCAGCAAGGTACTAGGCTCTTACATAAGTATTTGTATTAGCAATAATTTTACAGAATTAAATCAATTTTATCTTAAAATTTTACAATCTTACACCATACTACAACTTAAGCGTGACAAGCTTTGTTGGATACATAAATTGATTTACATCTTCGCCGTTACTGTCATGCGGCTATGGCAAAGATAATATTGTGTGTAAATACACCAGTGGCGCCCTCATGTTTTCTCCCTTACATAAAAAAATATTTTATTTTCGTTAAAATAACAATCATTTTTTTATTTTAAATTAAAATTTTAAAAATAATATATTTATTTATTTATATTAAAAAATATGTTAAAAGATTATTAAAAAAACTAAAAAAGAGATAAATTTATAATAATAATAATAAACAGTGTTGTCAAAATTGTGATTTAAATCATAAAATCGGAATTTTGTGGAATCTATGGGTAAAATCATAAAATCACGATTTTACGGTAAAATCGGATAAAATCTCGATTTTACCTTAGTTGAAGAAGCTGGACTATTTTTTCTTGGGCTAATGGGCTTTGACCCAACAACCCTTAAATTAAACTCATTTCTTATTTTAAAAGTCCACAACCACAACCCTCAACCAAACCCAACAA